GTAGTGGCCATGTGAAGATACTGAGGACTTGAAAGGAGACTAAAGTCACCAAGGAATGGATTTTTTTAAAAAGATTTTATTTATTCATGAGAGACACAGAGAGAGAGGGGCAGAGACACAGGCAGAGGCAGAAGCAGGCTCCATGCAGGAAGCCTGATGTGGGACTCAACCCCGGGACCCCGGGATCACACCCTGAGCCAAAAGGAGACGCTCAACCACTGAGCCACCCAGGCATCCCAGGAATGGATTTTTAAATTGTATTTAATGCTTAAAAGTTTAAATTGAAACAGATTCACATGACTAGTTGCCACCCTATAGGACAAGGCAATTCTAGACTGTCTCCTCTAAGGACAGATTAAGGAGGTAAGAATAGAGATACAATAAAAAATAAAATAAAATAAGGGGCACCTGATTGGCTTAGTCAGAGGAACATGTGACTCTTGATCCCGGGGTTGTGAGTTCGAGCCCCATGTTGAATGTAGCGATTACTTAAATAAAAAATTTTAAAACATATTTAGCACAGTAGCATCTTAGAGTTAAGAGAACTGGAGATGCACTTAAAATAGTGGACTGTGGCATGTTTTTAAGTCTTTGACTTACACTATCCACAGAGCCATGCTTCCTAGCCCAAACACACCCCTCCCCATATACAACCCTGCAGATAATTCCACCTTGCAGCAGCCCAGAGACACTTTAAGGAGCAGAATCTGAATACTCTTGATTGATGCTGACCAACCCTCCTTTTTACCAGCTGAAAAAACAAACCCCAAAAGGGTTTAGAACTACTGCTAGGTTTCAGTCCTGAAAGCTGTACTCCCATCTTTACCCCCTCAAGCCAGGGCTCTACCCAGCTAAACCAGTGTTGAAACAAGCCTCATGAGCCCTCAGCACTGTGCATTTTTACTTTTCATAATTCACCTGGGGTTCTGCTTTGTTCCTGAATACATGGGCCTCAGTAACACCAGGCTGAGTGAAGGCAGCCAGCCAGTATTACCAGATGGGGACAGAGTGTTTACTATCAACTGCTGCAAACAACAAACTGAACTGTAGAAATATCCAAATGGCCATGATTCAGACAGAATCAAGACCATTTAGAACCATTTAGGAAGAGGAAAAGAAAGTTAAAGGAAAGGACACCCTGAAAGCTACTTATTACTGAAAGCCAGTCTTCAAAATGCTACATGGTAACACACACTCCTTCACTGCAACAATCTGCTTAGAAAGCAACAGAAAGATTAGGAGAAAAGCCCACGGATTTGACTATTCCTTGGTTCTTCTCACAACAGAGGATCTAGTTTAAGTGCAAAGCCACACTTGTCAGTTTCTCTGCCCCTCAATTTGTATTTATATTAGCCATTGAAACAATCTCGATTGACCTCCAGCATCACCCTCCTCAACAATACTCTGAAGTGTGAGGATTAAAGGATCAGAGAGGTGTTTGCTTGGAACTCTCCCAGCACAAGACAGTAACCGTCAAGGAAAAGGTATCCTCTAAATTATAGCTCCCACATTCCCACCAGCTACCTCTCCAGCCAGACTCTGTCCCACTCAAAACATTGTCACGGATCCTGTTTTCCACAGCCCAAGTATAAAATCAGGTATCAGAGCCAGCAGGGCTGCTCCATGGAGTGCCATATACAATGGGTACTTAATGTTAAATGATAATAAAGGTGAAACCCTGCATGAGGCACTACACCAGAAAGGGTTTTGGATAAAAGAACTTGCCTCAGAAAGCCAAGTTTAGGGGGGATCCCTGGGTGGCGCAGCGGTTTGGCGCCTGCCTTTGGCCCGGGGCGCGATTCTGGAGACCCGGGATCGAATCCCACGTCGGGCTCCCGGTCCATGGAGCCTGCTTCTCCCTCTGCCTATGTCTCTGCATTTCTCTCTCTCTCTCTCTCTCTGTAACTATCATAAATAAATTAAAAAAAAAATTAAAAAAAAAAGAAAGCCAAGTTTAGGATTTAAATACATCCCACTCAGATTAGCAACTCAAACAGTAGGAGAGGATTTCAGTGGGACAAGAGGCCCAGAGGACCCCTGCCTCCCCAGAGCAGAGGAAAATAGAATGGCAAACAGAAGTCTTAAATCATACACAAAACTGTTGACCTCCTCAAAACAGCACAACAGACCAAGCTACAGAGAGGTCCTCTCATTCCAGACTCACAGAGAAGATTAGACAGGAGTGGCCTGGGGAGAATAGGCTGGTAGGCACCAGCTGGCCAGGCACATGAGGTGCCCACTCCTCAAAATCCTGAAACGTGCACTCGACCAAATCATGTTGCCTTAGGCTAGAGCCAGGAGGCTGGTAGCACAGTGTGGGGAAAACAATTTGTTTTCCTTCCAGCTAAGTTTCCAGGTCAGAGGTTAGGGGGAGGGGTATTTTTAATAAAATCCAAATCACTCAAGTCATTCAAGAGAAACTTAACGTTAATCTCAGAGATTCTTTAGGAGGAGAAAAAAGCAACACTTGAACAGCCATCATGAACCAGGCACAGTGCCCAGTCTAAAATATTATCTCAATCTGTCTTTAGGATGAGAGGGGAACACTGTAAAGACTAAAACTAGCCTTCACCCACAAACGATGGCTATGGCCAGGCCTGGGTCCAACGCCCATGAATAAAACAAATTGCTTTAAAATACTGATGCTCAACATTCTTATACTGGAGCCACATCCACTTGGCGCCTGAGCACTTTGACAACAGACACCTATGTGCTCACCCAGCAGTGGCCGGGCAAGATGTACTTCCTAGAAACAGCTGGGAGGAGGAACAGATATGCATACAAAAGGCTCCAGCAACTTGGAGATGTCTCACTCAAGGGCTTAGATGAGATCAGTTCTCTGCAAATTTTAGACCATTACCTAGCAATGTGCATGACAACACAGCCAGTTTAATCCAGGTAGGCACAAAAGTTTCAGAGCTTTGTATATCTTTAGGATCAGAAGGCCCTCTTCTATCCTAGAACCACATTTCATCTGAGAATAGACCCAAGAATTACTACCCAGAACCCACAAAACTAGTTAAGAGGTGAAAGAAGTTAAAGTTCAATACAAGTCAAAAGGCTCCCCAAACACAGCCTCACGCGCTTCCAGTGCTCAGAAAGGTTTTTTTTCCTTGTTTTATTTATTCTTTAGCAATCTCTATACAGCATGGAACTCGAACTCACAACCCCCAGATCAAAACTCCCATGCTCTACCCACTGAGCCAGCCAGGGGCCCCTCAGAAAGTCTTAAATAATCAGATGAACAACTTGAATGCCAGAAACAGAAAAAATCTAAAAAATGATCAAATCATGCTCATGCCACCCTCTACTCATTTCAAAGATGCTCTGTGCCTTTAAGAGCAAAGGGGATGGGTGGTGCTTACTAAGAGTCCAAGCTTTGCTTTCTGAATAGTTAAAAAAAAAAAAAATTGGGAAGGACAAGAGCACAGAAAGGTTACTAGTTACCAGAATTACCAGCTTTTTGTGAATGGTCTTCCTTGATCAGTAACGGTGACAAAGGAGTGGGGGGGGGGGATAGCAAGCCAACAGATACAACCTTACCAGGGTCCAGCAGCCCAGATTTCCCTGCAGCAGATACATTTAAACACAAAGTAACCTGCACATCTGTAGGGAAAAGATCGCGGGCTTAACCTAATTGCTCTGCGCGTACCGCTACCCGGCTTGAGCGGCCTGCCTCACACCTGGAGTGGAGAGCACCGGGTTTCTGTTAGCGGCCGCCCTAGAGGAGGAAGGCACCCGCCAACCTGGGCATCTCTGCAGGAGAGGAAGATCTCGAAATGCCCAGAGCTCCCAGCAGTCCAGGTCGGTTCAGCACCGCCCACCACCAACAGCGCCTTTCCCTGCCTAAGCCTCCGTGGCGGGGGCTGGGGGGGGTGAGAATAGGGAGGCGCTGTACCCTAGGGCACAGTGTAACTGATGAAAGCCTGCCGCCGAGGCGTTCAGACCACAGTCTTCCCAGGCACCTTTTGACCCATTAACTCCGAAACTAGCGTAGTCCCCCCCCCCCACCCGTCCACCGCCTAGGCGGGGGTGCGGGCCGGGTGTGACACGTGACCCACGCGCCCCCGGGCATGAAGTCAGGGGGCACACGGGGCAAGGCAGCCTCCACCTCGCCCGACAGCCTTGAAGGAGCTGCAAACGCTAATCCTCCTGAGAGGCCACCAAGCCTTTGCCCTCAGGACCCTAACTCGGTTCAACAGATCCCTGCCCCCAAACAGAGTTCCAGGCACCGCCGCGTCCTAACCGCACCCTCCGGGTTCCGCACACCCAGCCCTTTCCCCAGCTCTGCCGCACTCAACTCCCGGGGGCTAGGCTCCCTGCACGGGTCTGCCACGCCGGGCCCGGGTGGGGAGCAACCCAGCGCGAGCTCAGGGGGCCCAAAAGTTGGGTGAGCTCCCCGAAATGAGCAATCCCACCCTAGCCCTTCGGGAGGAAGAAAAGGGTGCCCGCGGGCCCCGGGGCGCCTCCTGGCCCTGCCCACAGCCCGCCCCGCCGCCGCCGCCCCTCCCGGCTCAGACCCGGGTACACACGACCTTTGAAAAGTAAACGCGTGTGGGGCTGGGCGACCTTGGGTGGGACGCGCTGGGTCTGCCTCCCGGGCGGGTGCGCGCGCCCTGGGAAAGTTAAGCGGCAGAGGGTGCCCCGGGCGCCGCGTCCTAGCCGCCCCCCGCCCCCCGCCCCCCCGCAGAGAGCCGAGGCGCGCCAGCCGGGCCCCCGGCGGCCGCAGACCACGGCCCCCGCCGCGCACCCGCGACCTGTCAGCGGCGGAGGGCGAGGGGGCGCGCGGGCCCCTGCAGGGGAAGGGCCTGCGCGTGACAGCAGGCGGCGGGCCGGGGCCCCTCGGCACGCGCTCGGCGCCGGCAGCCTCCGGCCTCCGGGGCACCCGGAGCGCGCGTCCCCACCACACCTGCACCGAGGCTCCCCTGCGCCCCACGGCGCCGTCCCGGGGGCCCGGCCGCTGGTCCTCGGGCCGGCCGCCCCGGCAGCCCCCAACTCACCAGGTGCTCGGCGACAGTCGGGATGCAGCGTCCTCGCCCGCCGCCGCCGCCGCCGCCCCCCCCCCACCCCGGGCCCAGCCGCCCTGCCCGCTGCGCCGCGGCCGCTCCCCCACGTGCTTGCCCAGGCCGGAGGAACACAGAGACATTAAGTACCGAGGACGCGCAGCTACGTGCCCGCCGCGCGCGACGCAAGGCCCCGCCCCCGCCCGCTGCCCCCGCCCCGCCCCACGCACCTGCGCGTGCGCGCCGCCCGCGCTGCTCCCAGCTGCGCCAGCGAGGGCGCGGTCTCCAGCGCTCCGCAGACATCCCGCGGCCGCCGCCCGCAGCCGGGCCTCGCTCGGGCTCTCGCGAGACGCCCTGTAATCTCGGCGGGCGGGGGGAGGGGCCTGGCGGGAGCCCGCGGGCGTCGCGGAGCCTCCGAGGTCCAGCGCGGGGCGCCCCCGCCGGGCTCCGTGCGGTCTGCGGGGGTCACACCGTCCGGCCGCCCTGTCGCGGGCAGCCCCCCGGAAAAGAGCAGACGGGCCGCGAGGGCTCCCCCGGAGCTGCCAGGACTTGTAACGCTTAATCAGGCGGCCGTTACTAATTGCTCCATTAACGACTGCATCATAGGAGTACCTGCCACGGCTCAAATGCAACTTTCTTTTTTTTAAGATTATTTGTTTATTCATAAGAGACGCAGAGACATAGGCAGAGGGAGAAGCAGGCTTCTCTCAGGGATCCTGCACACACACACACACACACACACACACACACACCCAGGTCATGCCCTGAGCAGAAGGCAGATGCTCAACTCCTGAGCCACTCAGGTGTCCCTGCAGCAATGCGACTTTTTTTTTTTTTTTTTTTTTTTGTGCCTATTTTCACATTCAGTGAGGTATCGAGTTGAAAGGTGGGTTTGAGGTTTGGAAGAAATCCTGAGAAGAGAGGTGGTCACCATGAGTCACTAACTCTGCCCGCGTGGAGGAGGAGAACATAAATTGCGGACAGTGGACAGGATGGGGTCGCAGGGGGCCAGGCCTGTTCTGTCTTAAGAAACGGGGACGCTAAGTAAACATTTGGGTGAAATACAGAAAAAGAGATCGCGGGGATCCCTGGGTGGTGCAGCGGTTTAGCGCCTGCCTTTGGCCCAGGGCGTGATCCTGGAGACCCGGGATCGAATCCCACGTCGGGCTCCCCGGTGCATGGAGCCTGCTTGTGTCTCTGCCTCTCTCTCTCTCTCTGTGACTATCATAAATAAATAAAAAAAATTTAAAAATAAGTAAGATGCAAATTTAAGTGACAATGAGGTACCTTTTACCAGTTGAGTTTTAAGTATAAAGTCATGTATACATACGAATTCCAATTGCATGCTGTGATTAGTGCTCTGCAGGAAACAAAGAAGAAGCTGAAATAGGCAAGAAATAGCAAGGTTCTCTGGTTCCAAAAGTCAGAAGATCCCAAAAGTCAAACTTAAACTGAAACCTAGTGGATTAGGAAGAGTCAGCCTTGCAAATAGTATTTGGGAATAAGGATTGGGAAGTATTCTCAGCAGAAGCAATAACATAGGCAAAAGGAAGAAGCAGCTTCTGGCGAACTAGAAGATCATGGTGGGTGGAATATAACAGGGGTTAGGGGCAGTGCTGGGAAGGAAGGTTGCAGACAGGGGGAAGAGGATGCTGGTGAGAGGGTAAAGAGAACTAGACCGCCTTATAAACTATAGTAAAAATAGGATTTTATTCTACTCTGCTCAGCCCCAAAGCCAAGCATGCTTCTACCTCAGGACCTTTGCACTTGCTATTTCCTCTGACTGGAATATTCTGCAGAACTCTGCAGAGTTGACGCACCTCTTTCAAGTCCTTTGCTCAATGGTCATCTTTGATGTCTCAGTGAAACTTTCCTGGTCTCCGTGTTTAAAATTGTAATCACACACAGACACTTCTCTGTCCCTCACCCCTTCTTTTTTTTTTCTTCATAGCACTTATCACTATCTAAATTCTATATGATTCATTTATTCACAAGAAGAGACATTGGGGGCATGGCACAGGGAGGGCACTCAGTAAAAAAGATGTTTAGTGAATGAATGGGAAGCCATTAAAAAAAGGTTAAGGAGAGAATAATACTAGGGGCGCCTGGCTGGCTCAGTCAGTTAAGCATCTGGCTCTTGATCTCAGCTCAGGTCTTGATCTCAGTCAGGGTCATGGGTTCAAGCCCTGCATTGAGTGTGAAACCTACTTAAAAAAAAAAAAAAAAAAAAAAGCAGAGCAGCCCAGGTGGCCCAGCGGTTTAGCGCCACCTTTAGTCCAGGTCATGATCCTGGAGACCTGGGATCGAGTCCCGCATCAGGCTTCCTGCGTGGAGCCTGCTTCTCCCTCTGCCTGTGTCTCTGTGTCTCTCATGAATGAATGAATAAAAATCTTTAATAAAAAAAAGAGAGTGATACAATGTAATTTCTGTTTTTTTTTTAATATCTGTTTTTAAAAGGGAGCTGAAGCTGCTATGCAAAGAATGGGTTAGAAGAAGACCAGTACAGAAGCAGAGAGATCAGTAGGAAGACTGCTGCAGTGGACCAGATGAGAAATGGTACTGGCCGGAGGTAAGAGTCATGGCAGTGGGTATGCAGAGACTGCTTTGGACACAAGATATATTTTGGAAAAAGTATCAGCAAGAATACTTATGCTATTGAGGATAAGGAAAAGGGAACAATGAACAATGCTTCCTCTGGCTTGAATCATTGGTTTCATTTGGGACCCACTATGTTTATAGTGTTTTTGGACATTCAAGTGCAAATGAATAGTTGTACATGCAAGTCTGGAGCTTCAGAGAAGTGGCTCAGGTCGGAAATACAAATATGTATTAAAAATCATATAAAAGTGGATCTTTTAAAGAAAGACAATGCCCTGCTGGTGATGGAGGGATGGACTGTCTACAGAGGAGAACCTGGGAAAATGATATCCAAGCAGTTAGTCCTAGACACATTGGTAGAAAAAAAAATGGGGAGCGGTAGGAAGTAAAAGAAAAAGATGAGACTATGAATATGATTATGAGGAGGGGCAGAAAAGCAGAGTCAAAAGACTGAAGATCCACCCAGCAGCTGTTGCTGAGGAGGAGGTGGCCACAAGGTCAGGGCAGTGCACAGATCTCAAGGCAGCCCTTGTATGAGATTAGAAGGTGAAGGAATGAGAAGGGAGGTAAGGACAGAGGGCCATCCTAAGAAGTTGGCCCTGAAGAAAAGAAGATGACCAGGCTTAAACTTTAACATCACCTCAAAATGGGCAAAAGTCTACTTAAGGCAAGAATTTTAAGCTAGGATGCATAAAACAGCTTCAGGGATGTTTGTGAACCCCCTGAAATTGCTCACATAGTTTTATAAGTATGAATTTTTTCTATGGAAATAGTCATGGATAGCTTCTATCAGATTCTCTAACCCTGATGTTAAAAAATAATAACAGAGGCACCTGGCTGGCTCAGTCTGTAGAGCATGTAACACTTGATCTTGAGGTCATGAGTTCAAGCCCCACATTGGGCATAGAGATTTTATTATTTTTTTAAGATTTTATTTATTTATTCATGAGAGACAGAGACATAGGCAGAGGGAGAAGCAGACTCCCTGCAGGGAGCCCAATGTGCACCTCCATCCTGGAACCCCAGAATCATGCCCTGAGAGTGAAGGCTGACTCTCAACCACTGAGCCACCCAGGCCCCTGCACCCAAAAAAAAAAAAAAAAAAAAATTTTAAATATAAGAATAAGAATCTAGTAAATGGAATAAGACAAATCTAGTAACATTGTATTTTAGAAAAACCAGGGGCTGCGGGTGGGGGGAATAGGTCAGTCAGAAGGAGGAAGTGACAAAGGAAACAAAAAAAAAAAAACAAAAAAAATGCTGGAGATTAAGTAGTGACTATCTCAGGGAGAAGGTACTCAATCTAATCTGATCAAGACACTGCCCTCTCTGGTAAGTGGAAATGGCCCAATCAGAACCCAATGGTATTATTCATTTAAATCCTAGAACTCTGCTCCTCATCCTGACTCCATACCCACCAAGCAACCTTCTGATAATTCTCTCCAAGGAGAGAAGCCATGGATGTACCTGTGGCAGGCGCCAGTCCAGCTAACAGGTAGATTATGGTCTCTGTCAATTGCATAAATAGCCCTCTTGTTTTCTACATCTTGTATACCCTGTGAAGGTTTGTTGTTTGAGTTGACTTTCAGTTCTGAGACTTGAACATAGTGGAGTTTTTGAGCCTGCTGTAAGGCTGAGTAAAGACTTGATACAGGACCATGGCAACTTTCATCAAAACATCACCAATACATCGTCTTGTGAGGCTCTTATTTTTTTTAAGTAGGCACCACACCCAACGTAGGGCTTGGACCATGACCCTGAAATCAAGAGTCACATGCTTCACTGACTAAGCCAGCCAAGCTACCCCTCTGAGGCTATTAGAAAGTCAACCAGTTATCTTCTCTGGGCAGATCATCCAACGTCAGGGAGCACATGTTTGAGAAATGTCCTGCCTTTCTTAACTGGAAGCATCTACAGAAGGAACTTTTTCAGTAGTAGCAAATACGAACAGTCTCCTTAACAGACAATACAGTGAAGGAGTGTCCCAGCTCCTTCAGTTGCACTGAATAAACAAATGAAACTAAGTCCCTCCCATGCTGCACTGGTTATGCCCCAGGATCATATGTATCTACAGAAAAGAGCAAATGATCTACTCCTCAAGAAGTCAATAGAAAGAGTTAGGGAATAATAATACCCATAGCTAATACTTAATGAGCGCTTAATGCCCAGCATGGTGCAAAGCACCCCTCGTAATCCTCCATCAACCTCAAATACTAGGTATTCCTATTGTATACTGCAATCCCATTCTGCATCCTTAGTCTCACAGTGGTGGAGGCAAAGTTTTAACCTCAGAAATCTAGCTTGGAGCCCATGGATTATAACCAACTCACTACAGTGAGTACTCCCCTCCTGGAGGCAGACGTAGAGTCAGCGGGCAGTTTTATACAGGAACATGTCTGCTATGGTCTTGAATTATGTCCCCTGAAAAAAGATATGCCAAAGCCCCAACCCCCGAACCTCAGAAGGTGACTGTATTTGGGAATAGGGCTGTTGCTAAGCTGAGGTGAGGCCAGAGTTGATCTGACCCCAA